ACTGAGTCGACACGAAGCACAAAAGCTTCAACTGCGCATGCCACTTGAAGGTGACTTTGAGAAATGCCAGGCACAGTATTATACAAAAAGAGTTATTAATCAACCAATCATTCAGAAATAGCCAGGGCATTGACCAAATGGTAAATTTTACATAAATTCTTCAGGCACGACAAACATTTTGAATTTTTCATGATAAACTTTCTAAACATCTTCAATATAAATGCTCAAAAAAGCCTTAGCTTCTCCAATGATAAGTTACATTATTTTACTCATGAATTCGATTTGCTTGACCGTGGAGCAGGAGGTCATATATGATCACCTGACCAAACGTTCACGTGATTCTGATTTCTGGTTTATTCGATGTATGGGTAGAGCTATGTCCAAAATGGAGTACAAGGATTTCTGCACTTTGCCGGCTATACTTATTGGCATTTAAGTTAGTTCTACCAAACTACAGTTCCAATGATAAGTCATAAAATCCTGAAAATTTATTCAAGTGCGCTAGTCTTTTGCTATTATTTCCTTCTCCCCCAGCATTTCACTTACGCCGACCGTCAGATACCGAACAGAGGAAATCTTATAGAAGTGTATTTGTTAGTTTCTTCACAATGGAAATCAATTTTTAATCATGCGTGATGGCTGATAACGAGCACTGTACAGCCGTTTCGTTCTTGTTGGCTAACCGGTCTCAAAATTCAGATCTATTGAATGGATGGAAAGAAGAATGGACGGATTGATAGGTGAGTGGATGCAAACTATAAATAGAGAGATAATTCATCATACATGTGGTTTGTCAAATCTATAAGAATAATCTGCGTATATTTTATTCAGAAGGTTGATGGGTAATTTGCGATTTTCATGTTCCAATCGGCAATTAAAACTAAGAAAAAGAAGACCAGTGAGTGCCAGATGGTGGATTTGATTCAAGAAGTGCAGCTAGAGATCAGTAAACAAAAGCACGGAGCTAGACAATTTTGGCGATAATATATGGAATGCATACGTATCGTTCGGTTAACCGCAGGAAAAGTAACGCGCAGTATATCGAGTATATCGATTAAGTTTTAACCAGGCTGAAAGAGCAGCTGTAAGTTCGGAACATACAATCGACGATTGTAAATGACCGGAAGTTGCGACCTCTTAACGCTTGATCGAATATTTGAAAGTACTTAACTTAACTTTTCATATTTTCTTGTCTCGCCCAAATTCATCGATTCACCACTCAAGGCACGTGGCTGGTCCTGGATTTTGCTTGCTTACCTGACTCATGCTCGTTCCTTGTACTATTTTAAGCTTGCACTGGACATTATGCAAACTTTCAACACTCCTATTGACCGCTTACTTGTTCAGCAAAAGTCAGTTCTGGTTCACAAAACAGTCGGTTCAGGTTGAGATTCGTTCTATTTCTGGTTACGCATTCTTGATTTAAAACGCCATTCGAGTGATTCCCCGAAGGATTGACGTTGTGAAATTTCTCACCTAACGTTTGGTGTTGGTAAAAAAAGATTTGGTGGTCGTGATCAACTAATTGTACGTAGACGTTTTCAGCTTAGATTCGACCCTTGGGTCCAAGGTTTGCATTCTGTGATCATCGTCGGAATATGGTTGTAAGCAACTTCCCTGTCGCGCCATTCTATCCCAGTGGAGTTTCACGAGGTTTGCCGCTTGAAAATCCAGGACTTAGGTTGTTGGTTATCACGAGTGAACAGTATAACATCGTAATCACTAAGTTGGTCTTCATAAACTGTTCATTAAAGAAGAGCTTGGGATAACAATTCCTCCCGCACTAAATAACCTTAAGGATTCCGCAAAGAAAATATGAACTGGCACATTTTAGCTGACCAGTGGGGAGGAAGAACTCCGTTTCGCGATACTCCTGATTCCATTAGATGGAACAGGTTGCAGTGTTGGCGCAAGTTTTAAAGTTCGATGAGCAAAACAGATCGCATGCTGAACATGAAAAGAGACAAAACTTACGAACTGGTCGTGCTGAAAGCGGTGATCAGTGGTCGATACATAGCCTTGTACACGACGAACAGATTGCGTCGCACGAATATCACGTAGATTAAGGGAAAAACAATTATGGACAGAATCGCATTGAAACAGACGGAACTGGCCACAAACAAACTAAGTGCAATGAGCCCATTCTCCAAATTATCCACCGAGGCCAGGGCAGATGCGATCAGACTGATCATTGCGAGTGGTAGCAGTCTGTAATTGGATTCAGAGGAAGAGAAAAGTTTTGATTTTAGAATCATTTCATTATTCTTATGTGTTGTTACAGTGTACAATGGAGTATTGGTTAACTTGAATGCAACTGTTAAAGGGGATAGGCAAAGTAAAAAGAAATCAGGAAAACATCGCACGGTGTGAATACTAAACTCATCGCAAAAATTTAGGCGAACATGAAGTCGTAAGTAAGATTGAAAATGGAAAGACAATCGTCTGATGGCGGTGAAGAGCCATAATACTATACAGACGCTACCTTAAAAATCCGAATGTCTACAGATTATAAGCTTCCTGATCACAATTTGTTTTCAGAACTACTCGTCTGATTTATGGTTATATAGCAATTTTAAGATACACTTCATGAATATAGCATTTTTGAGTCAAATGCGTTTTTAAACAGATTCGGGGTATCGCAATTCTCAGTTCTTTTGATAAAATCCTTCATAAGAGATAGCTTACTTAGATAATAAAATAGAATAAAAAATTCAGTGTTGATAAACAGCCGGTTCATGTCACTCAGATTTTGCCGAACTTCAATTTCAAATTTTGCTCTAAGTACTGGTGGGTACACAAACTTTTCAGTGATATGACGAATGTGATTTCTTCAATGTGAAACTCTCGGGCACTGAAAGTAGCTGCTCCATCTGCGATAAAACATCCCGCGAGCAGTTTATTCACTATGAAAACGAAAAAAACATGATGGAATAGAATCATCTAGATGTCCATCCTGATATAGTCGAGCGCCCTTCATTCCTAATCTCACGAGACAAAGTATGTTGATGATTGATTATCCGTCTAATTTATGGGTCCAGAGAAATAATTACTTTGTGATTAAGATTTTGTTGCTTCACTGAAGAAAAACAAAGGGGAGAATTGCATTACAAAGAAAAATCGAAAATACTAAACTGGATGTCCATATCAGTTCTGTGTGCATTCCATCTCCAGCATTCTGGCTAAGATGAAAAGTGGTTTTAGTGTGAGCACAAAATAAACCCTTTCCGTAGGGCAATACAAAGTTAACCAGTCTTAGCAAATATTTTATTTCGGGTTGTGCGTGTACGTGTGACTGACTGCTGGTCCCGGGATCATGAGACGGGTCTGGTCGGACGAGAGAAACAATAAATGACCACCAAGCGTCATGGACCGGTACGAGTCTATATCTCCCTGCAAAATTCGTTTCATTTTGCAATTAGTTCGAACGTAATCATCCTAATGCCGTCTGCTTTAACACTCTCTCCCTCTCTCTGTGCGGAGATTTGGTATGAGACCTATAGCAAATGAAAGTGACATTAGTTTTACTGATCAGTGTCTTTCAATCACCTAGTTCCTGCGGTATATTTTTATAACCGTGGCTGTCTTATTAGCACATTTTAGTCAGAGTTCAAGTTACGTTATTTACTGATTACTCAACAAGCACTTGGAAGTCACTTTAATGTACTTTGATTAATTTGCACTTATGTATTATACGGACGGATAAACTTAGGAAACTTTCCATCTTCAGAGTCTATCGGATGAGAAGTTTGAGAGGATTTGGTGTTCTAATCGAATAAATAGGGACAGGAACAAATGTCTCAACTCGATTAATTGGAAACAGGTCATAAATATCTGTGATCATGCGAAGAAATCAGAATAACTCCAAAGGGGGCAATAAAACGTTCAGGGTCAGTAGCCTTTTTACGAAGCAGCCACTTCGCATTTCATAGGTCCAATGGTTTTTGTTGCCTTTAATCTCGAATGGCAATACAATAGTCAATAGTCTTTCTTCTGATTCTGGAATTACACCTCCTGACCGTTTTGTTCACCAATTGCTGGTCAGTACTTCTAAACCAGAATTTGAGAAACAGTTAGATAATAATTCGGTTTGGGAGGATAACCATGTGATTCACCACATTGGCTCCGAAAAGTTGTGTTTCATTATTGAAATGAAACTCAAAAGAGTACAAATTTTGTTGGTAAGAAGCATGAAAGGAACCGGAACGGAATTATGATCCATTTCACGAATATTGTGAAACATTGAGCAAAGAGTATGCCATCAAGTAGGTTATCACGGTGCGCAATGTTTATTAAGGTAGTGAATGGGTGTAAAAGGTCAGATATCACATTACCGTATGTAAATCCCGACCAGAAGAATTGCCCACATGGGTTGTATCAGGCTCCCTGAATGGGCACTGGAGGATCAACGAAATCGATGGCTAGAAACACTGAGTGATAAGTCTTAGTGGCAGTGGTGCTCGTGCACCTGATAAACGTCCTCACGACGTCATTATCTGAGAGTTCTCCATTTTTACTTGAAAATTCCAATTTTCCCTCTACTTCTTCATCCCAATGTGCAGCGGAAAGACAGCAGAAATACTGCAAAAGCCAATCTTAAGGATAGTCCGGGTGAATTTGGCAGATTTTTCTTATGCCACCGTTGGATAGACAGCAACTAAAACTGGCGCATGGAAATGTATGATTAATGGTTGTCACAAATGAAACTGAAACTGATGGGCAAGACACCAGGTGGAGGACAAGCATCTGTAGACTTAGTTGTCCTGAGAAGTCACTTTCACCGGTTGAATAAAGTAATTATCCCTCTCACCTGATGATTTGGGTGTGGATTAAACTCAGCGCACCTTATCATTGGGCCCCTTTAAAGGTATCCTGAACAGTGCGAGATTTTTTGTGTTGATCAAGGAGATCTTCATTGATTAACAAGCTCGTAATGCCTTTGGAATGGCCATACTTTTACAATATAATGTTCCTTTTCATGTCTAATGGGAGGTATATTATCTCATCGTTTAAGCCTTATTATACATTATTTTCTCATATTTCGACAGTATGTGGATTTGAATGTAATCGAAAACCTTTTCCGCTGTAGACAGAGATAAGTCATCTATCTCGGGAGTAGCCGTTAGAAGCCAAGGCGCGGTATAAACAGAAGGAAAACGACAAAAACGATCAAGTTGGTGGACCCCGTACTAAAATGATAAGCCCAAATGCTCAAGAATAAGAGAGGACTCATGGAACACTGAGAAAATAAAACTAACATATAAGTCAATCCTTTTAATTTATAATTATGTGATTTTTCCGCGTATTTTTGGTTATCTTATGTTTGATGCGCTAAGAACTGTCGTCGAACTCCAGAAATTGTACGTTTTTGTGGCGTTTGACTAAAAGAACCAACTATATAAGCAAGTAGTGAAATAGAAATGTTGTGCATAATATTGGTTAATGCTTTACACATTTGCGTGCACGAGGCTCAGTGCGTTAGACAGTGAAATGGATAGATTTTGGGAGTCGTGGTGTCGCACGAGTTTGATCAAGGCATATATATTACGTATTGCATATATGTTACAAGCGTATGTCAGTGACAGCGTGTTAGACATTGGGAAAGAATTACCGACATATATATATATATATATCTATATCCAGTTAATATAAATGTTCATATGTAAAGATGCACACTATGTGGTACACTGGACAGCTTAGCTCTGACTATTCAACACCGTCAACTCGTCAAGCATGAGCCAAGAAATGCGTCTTCTAAAACCTGATTTGCCAGTGCGCTAAACGGGATGGCTCGTATCAAGATCAAAGATTTATTATGGGAATAACAAGCTCATGCTTTTCTCGTCCCATATATTCGTGTGGTGGTTAAAAAACAGTGATACATACAATTCTTTGTGTAAAATGTCACGGGATACATGCTTCTTCCACTACTGCACTTCAGCTTCACTTATGTTGGAATGTAAGGTGTGCTAATGTTTCATCGAGTCTCAGTTTGAAAGATTCAATGCTTGGAGCACAGACGACATAGGATGGAAGAGAGTTCCAGATCGAACACACTGACAGTAAACAACTGACGCCGGCATTGCAAGCGGCATTTTAAGATCACTAGTGTGAATGGATATTCTCTAAGATGAAAGTTGGGTGATAATTTCAGAAGCGAGCGACACGGATGGCTTGGGTTTTGCATTATTTGGTATACCATAATCATATCTCCTCTGATGCGCCGGTAGTGCTTGGAATATAACCCCAGTGACTTCAATCTCTGTGTATGAACACCGATTCAACCCCCTTACCATTTTTGTGGCCATCCTTTGTGGACGCTCCAGCGTTTTGCCATCACGTTGTAGCCATGGATTCCATGCCTGGATAGCATACTCTGTGAGTGGGCGAATATTTGCTGATAGTAGACGGGGAAAAGCGCTGACTCAAACCGGCCAAAGACCAGCTACAGCAAACCGACATTCTTTACAGCTGCGTTGGACACCGTGGTGCAGTCGAGTAAGCAGCTTAAGTTTCCATGAATGATGATACCCAGGTCCTTCTCACTTGCGGCGTGTGACAGTTGTTCATTTCCGAGGAAATACGAAAATCGCCCCCTGTGTCGTAGAGATAGAACCTTACACTTTGGCACGTTGAATTCAATATAGTTCACAATGGACCACAGATGAGCTGTTTTCAACGTTTCCTGGAGTGCCAGTGAGCCCACTGGTTGCGTTACTATATTCCAAATTTTGGCATCATCTGCAAAAGGTAATGATTTTGGCCTCAGTGCCTTCGGTAGGTCGTTTACGAATGTTAGGAAAAGTCACGGGCCAAGCACAGATCTTTGTGGAACCCCACGGGTAACGTCCATAGGACTGGAAAGCGAATCAGAAACGCGAACCGATACGGTCCGATGTAGGAGAAATGCTTCGATCCAACCTAGCACGACGCCCCGAATACCGTGATTGTAGTTTCCGCAGTAGAATGTCGTGGTTTACCTGATCGAACGCTTTTGAGAAGTCTAGATAAATAACGTCTGCCGCGTCGCCGTCATCAACTGCTTTTGTCCATTATTCTCGTTTGATCAGCAAATTGGTAGCGCAGGATCGCTTCTGTCGGAATCCATATTGATTTGATGACAAAACGTTGTGCTTCTCTAGGAGTTTCATCAGGGAATCTGCTACTATGGACTCCATGACTTTGGACAGCACTGGAAGGACGGTTACAGGGCAGTCGTTAGCGGGATCGCTACGGCAACCGCCTTTGTAAATCGGTGAAATCACTCCTTGCTTCCACGACGGTGGGATTGCAGTGTGATCAAACACCCTCTGGAATAGGAAGGCTATTGGCTC